GATACAGTATTTAAATATTTTGAAGGGAGAGTTTCAAGGCTATTTATTTAAACAGAAAAAATAATAATAATAACCTTCAGGAAGGTTACAGTTCTTAATTCTGCCTCATGTAAAATAAGTCCCAGAATTGCAGGAAAAAATCCTCCAACCTGTGGTGTCCTCCTCCAGGATAACTGAGGCAGCCAATATCTATGACCCTTCCCTGTGCATCTCCAATTAATGTAACCTAAGTCTCTAAGAAAGCTCCAGAAAGCATCAGAGAGGTGCACAGGTACAATGACCAAAATCATCAAAAAAATGCCTGTATAAATCCCTTCTACCTCTTCTATGCCAAAGAGTGGTATAGATTTAAGTTAATCTAAGCTATTTCACTCAGATGGGTGAGACAGAGTTTATTTGCCGTGAAAAAAACTCTGACCCACAAGTCCCAGAATCAGACTCAATAAACGGCTCTGAGGGAGCTATTTGCCGTGAAAAAAACTCTGACCCACAAGTCCCAGAATCAGACTCAATAAACGGCTCTGCATCTTTCCATAGTAGGATAATTACATAAAATACATTTTGAAAGTCAGCAATAACTTACATAATATTTTGTAATGACCTCCAGAAAAGTAATTATAATCTTTGTGTCAAGACACAAAGTACTTTGAACAACAAAAATGCCATGGGTGATGATATTATTACAATTATGCAAACATGCAATGGTTTGGGTTGGATAAAGCTTGCTGGTCCTTGCCTTGCCCTACTTTGCTCTTTAATAGGATCAATGAGAAATAACTTTGGCTACCTCTGTATAGTGTATATTCTTTTAGGACCATAAGATGAGATGATGTGTAAAATAATTTGGAAGTGGCCGTATTACTTAAATACAGATTATTATATAAAAAAGCCATGCTTATCACAGTAAGTATGATGGGCAAGGAACCAACCCCTACAGAGCTTCTTCTGCACTGTAATGTCTTTAGACTGGTTTCTGATAAGTAGTGCTTGACTTTTAGAATCCAACTAAATATGATCCAAACTCATTACAATAAAGGAGACCTGTTAGTCAATTGCATGGCAATAACCTATTGTTCAGTTATAAACCTATAACTGCTATTGTTGTTCTGTTATAATATTTAAGGCAATCCCAGGATAAGGAAATATTTCCTGAATCTTTGTACTGTACCTTTGAACTTTAAGATATCTAGTATTCTATCTTTCTCTGTAGCAAAGTAGGGATCATAGGTAATACACCTTTATCATTTTATCTTATTTTGTTTATACTTGGCTTCCAAAAAGGGTTTCTGGAAAACTGTAGTAACTACACAGTATATCATTATCATTAAGCTCTTGAGTTGTAGCCGCACTTGAAAAATTACTCAGAAAAAAGGATACTAATAAAAGAAGTTGTAAAATTGTATTCTCTGGAGGTCTTTAAGTAAATTAAATCATGATCCTTCTTTGGAATGGCATTTTAGGGTGAAATGAAATGAAACAGAATTTCTTTAGGAACAGTTCTTTCTGAAGGATCTTTCTGGTTGCTTTTATTCCTACGATCCCTTGGAACAGAACATTATCATACCTAGTTAATGTAAGTGTAACTCAACATTTTCTATTTTCTGACATAATTAAAATAGCTACTTTCTCTTAATGCTTTATTGACTTTTTGTGAATGGTTCCCAATTGCTCTCAGCTCTGTAAATATTCATTTTAAATCCACAGAATAATAATAGTAAGGGCAAACATTTCAGTACTTCTATGTGCTAAGTACTGTGTAAAGTGCTTTGTGAATGCCATATGAGTATTAACTCATTTAAATATTTAAATATTCCAAGGGCTTTTGATTTTAAGTATGTTCTGTGGTGTCTATTTTGTAAAGTAAATAATACCCTTTAAAAGTTTCAATATTTATTTATTTGATTCACTTAAGCCAAGGCTTGCCTGCAAATTACATATGGATATACAATTTTTACAAAACAATTTTAGCTTCAATCTATTTGGGACAAACTGTGTCTCAGGCCTGTCCTAAGCATTTTATGTGAAGTATCTCATTTAATCCTCCTAATAACCCTAACAGGTAAGTATTATTTCCCTATTTTACAAATAATAAAACTAAATTTCAGAGAAGAAACTTGCTTGATATGTATATGAATTAGAATTCAAAACTGGGTCTGTACCTCCAATCTTACTACATAAGTGAAGAATGTTTTTCTTTCTCACCCAAAATCATATGAGAATATTTTGTGATCCCTTTAGACAGGGTGATGAGAATTGATTCCTATACACAAAAATACGAACTGCTCTGAAGAGAATCTCAAAAAGTAACTGCCTATGGGACTGCTTGGGGATGGGGGTAGAGGTTAATATTTCAGCTGTCCATGTAACAGGGAAACAGCATTATTTGGCACAAAGCATGATGAAGACTAGAGGCACAGGAATAGACTCAATACAAAGGGTTTTATTTACTAAAGAACCAAAAAAGAAAAAATAATAACCTTAATTATTAAGTCTCTCTTATAGGAGCCTCTATGTTACGGACCTTAGGGATGGCTTTAGATATTGAGGGGAATAATAATATGATAGAAACTGTGCAACTTGGCACCTGGGAACCCATGAGACAGGCTCCTCTAAAGAAGATTCCTAGAACTGGTCCCCAGGGAAGTGAAAATGGTGCTCACTCCAGATGACGTGATCCCCAAGTCCATCAGGCAGTGCTCTAGTGTGCAGGCACAGCCCCACAGCCAAGAGCAAGGTCAGGTAAATCAGGGTTCCTCCAGTTCCCTGACAATCCATGTCTAGTTGTTTCTTCCTGTTTCCCTACATGCTGACAAGAGGGATTTTCTGTTCCCTTTAATGTTTATACAGAACCTCCCATCCTGGCACCATGTTACTTTACCAGTAACAATTCAAAGAAATGTTTGGGGTGAGAAAAAAAAACTGGACCGATCTCAGTTTCAAACTAGTTTAAAGCAGAGGCTCATTCCTACCTCCTACCTGTGGCCGAGGATCCATACATGGCCAAATAGTTAACCAGTTTTTACTCTTACCTTACTCCAATATGAAATGGGAAGTGTTGTGTTGTTTCATGGAAATGTTTTAAGTAATGCTCAGTAAACTGACTCAAAATAATCTGGCTATTGTGTATTACACGTGTGAACTATGAACAATAATGAATACCCATTTAAGAAGCATTTTCTCTATGTTATTATCTTCAATGATTTTCCTGTTGAATTCATATACAAAAACGTCTCAGTAAGAAAATGCTGTAGAGAAAAATGTCTCTAAAGCTCCAGTCACTCCCTGAGGTTTTTTCCTCTAGGTACTAATAGAAAAAAAATTGCAAAATCTGCTTCGGCCACAGAGGGTTGGGCAAATCAAAGCCCCAAGGACCCTAAACAGAAGCAAGTTTTTACAACTCTTTGCTGTCAAAGTGTCATTTTGACCCTGTGTAAAACAAAACGGACTCTCAGTGTGGAATACAGAAGAAATGACCAGAATTAACTCAACATCACCAAACACTGTGCCTTCAACCTCACATCAGCCCTGTGCCTTACTCATCTCTTCCCATGTCTTTAATTGATGTTTGCCTAAAGGAGATGGTGATTCCAGGCAAGGGAAATGATAACTAACGGCCTAAACTCTGCACAATTCCCCAATAAGTACCTGGTAATTCATAAAAATAATAACAGGAGTCATAATGAAAAGTAGTAACATGATTTTCCAAAGAATCTTGAAGTTCCCTCCACCCCTCTTCCCTACTCACCCCCGTGGGAGTCCATCTGCTGCAGAAAATGTGAAGGCACTAGGACCAGAGAGCCCTTTCCTGCTATTGCTTGAGAAACAAAGCCTTCCCTCCTCCCAAGTTGAAAGAAATAAAGGAGTCTGAGCTAATCAAAACCTGCAAGCCTGCTGGTGGAGCTTCAGCTTGTCAGTGATGCAACTCAGCGGAGTGAGTAACGGCTTCGAGCTTTGCAGAAAATGAGAGAGGGAGAGAAACAGAGACAGAAACACAAAGAGAAAGAAAGGCATTAACCTGGCCAGGAGTCAAACAGGTGTATGGGGCCCGAGCGCTGAGAAGAGTGTCTGGCAAACATGGGGCCCAAATGGGGTGTGTGCCTCTGTAGGTCTATGTCTTTTTTTTTATGGGGGCAATGTTGCAATTCATATGTCAGGGTGTACTGAGAGATTTTTTTTCTTATTCACGTGACTCATAATGACAGGCTGAGAGCCTTTAATTTTTCTCTACTTGTCAGTTTGACATCTTAACAGACACTTTCTGACTCTCTTTGATGAATTCCCCAGGATGGAGAAAGACAGCCAGGTCATTTACCACATGCACTTCCACCATGAGCCACAAATTTCTGTGGTGCCTTTGGAACAGTGAATTTGTGAGCACCAGGACTGCCACACTGAGAGTGACAGCAGTGTGCTACATGCTTAATGGAAAGGCTGCCTCGGTCTAGAGTTGGCCACTCGGAGGCCACACATTGCCTTTTAAGATGCTTCCAGGCCTCATCGTATTTCTAATGACTAGTTTCTGATAAGGATCCTAAATTTGCAGGTGCTCTCTCTCGGAACTGACAAGCTTAGACTCCTGGGATGTACAAGCCTTTAGAAGGCTGTGCCATCAATCTGTAATTTGGCTTACAGGCAGATGTTAGGAAAAGAAAGGAACACAAGCAGAGAAAGGCCTGGCATAAGACCCTCAGGAGAAGGCCCTAATTTTGAGACAGTGCCCACCAAATGAGATACAACTCTGCAGGACACTACCTGGGTGGCATTAAATATCATCATAAGAAAAGCATGCCGTCTCTGGTGGATTTTCAGTCTCTTGGCTTAAAATGTTCAAGTGTTTGATAACCCCATAATTCAGAAGACCCTGTTTGCCGGTTGTCCTGCCCTTGCCCACATGCCTCTAATAGAGAGTTAATGTGGGCGTAGATTAGGCAGGCTTGGCCCATCCCACTTCCCCAGACCCCTACACAAGGGTGGGTTTTTAGTTAAAGCCCGATCTTTACCTGAAATGCGCCTGGGCACGTCGGTGATGGCAGGAAGCCCTGTGCCCCGTGTGGAAGACAGTGGAGTGGTGGAGTGAATGGACGGGGATGTCATCTGGCTCAGGTAGGAGGGGTAAGACTGGTCATAGGACCACGGCGGAGAAGACTGTGCCTGCCTGGGGTCTGGGGAAAAGAAGAAAAATCTTTAGTATACCAGCCATTGCAGCCTTAGAAACAGGCAACCCAAAACTCAGAAAAGATAAAGCAGGGGGGAAAATGAGAACATATAAGGAATGATTATTTCCTAAAACCTCACCCTTTCAGGCCCTGAATAGCATGAAGCGCTCCAGTTTCCCAGTTGCAACAAAAGCAAAAAAAAAATGCTTCATGCATAAGGACCGTTTGTTTCTCTCTCACATAAATATTTCTATTTGGAAAGTGTAATGGTCACTTAGAAAACAAACTGCTTTGGTTATCATTACATAGTGGAATTATGTTTTATTTTCTGTATTCTCTAAAATTCCTCCAATGACTATGTGTTACTTTTCAAAAGTTAGAAATTTTTTTTAACAATTAACTTAGTTAAAGAACATGTAGACTGTGCTTTTTATTGCTATGTATTCCAGACATGCTTTTTGGTTTTAAAGTATATGATTCCATGATTTCAGCACGGTGCACTTTCTTTCCAGGCAGGTCAGTGGAATGGGGGTTAAGGGAGTAGGGGTAGGGATGACAATGGAGGGGGCGGTATATAAAACGAATAGAAAGGAGGGGAGCCTCTTACATTCTCATGCTAAAGATAAACCAGAAAGTAACCTTTAAGAAAAAAGACAAAACTTAATTTCAAAGTCAAGTATCATCAATAACTAAAAAGCTTTATCACCATCCAGTTTCAGTGTTTAGCATATGAGTTTCTGACAGGAAAATGACCCAACACAAGAGAACAGGGAAATGTTGTTAATCCTATTTGAAACTGTTTTAAAGATGTCACATGTTTGGAATGTGGCCTAGTGTTACCTACAGTCACTGTAATAATAAAAATAATGGACAGTCAACTGGTTAGGGCTAATTGCTGAGCATTACGAATATCTACTGATGTATCTCTATGGAATTTCTTGGAATTACAAATTCAAGGCCAAGCAGATTTATTAAAAGACCTTCAGTCTACATAAGAAAAAAGGTAAATTTTCTGTATGTTTCCAAGGTGAAAAAGTGTGTGTTTCAAACTTGAGGGCTAATCAAACAGAATCCTAAGCAAATTTCTCTTAACACATGTTTTTATGCTAATTTTTAATTTTTTGTGTTAACTTTTAGAAATTCTAATAAACCAGGCTGTTCACAGGATAGCTTGGTATATTAGAATATGCATGGACTTTGGAAGGTTCAAAGTTAAGTTCAGGTTCTGAGACTTTTACTTTCTCTGTGATCTTGGCTTAATTTAAGTCACTCTAAGCCTCAGTTTCCTCATCTGTAAAAGGCATTGAGGAAGGAATACAAGGATGTAAGAATTACATGAGAAACTATTAAGAATAACATAGGGACACTCAGTAAGTATTAATTCTTACCTTTTTAAAAAAAAAAACTCCTGGTGACATAGGAACAGTTCCATGTTTAAAACATATCTGAACTAGAGTTAATACATTTGGAATAGGTTTACAATTATCCCCATGTCATCTATCACTCTTTGAAAGTGAAAAGCTTAATTTTCAAAAAGTATTAATATATTTGAACAGTCAATTCAGGCTTATTTTTATCCCAAAATAAAAATGACTATAATAAGACATGGGTTTTTCTAAGAGGATTCCTCTTTTAAAGCCTTGTTCAGCTTTTCTATACAGTCAAAGCAGTTTAGTTCCAGCTATTTCTTGTTTATTTGTTCAATTCAGAAACAATTTATTTAAAGACAGTCTAAATAGGACATACTTCCTTGAGTGGAAATAATTAAATACATCTGGATATTTATCTGATGTTTACTGACATCAACAGACATATAGAAAAATTTCATCCAATTCAATTTTAAGAAACATTTACCTCAGTCTGCAATTTGAATAAAAGTCTACTACTGTAAATGGTTAACATGGATTTCCTTTAGAAATCTGAAGGATACTTAATCATTAAAGTAATAAACTTTTATGCTTTAAAACTCATAAGGCTGAGATTGTATAGACTGGCAATATTTCAAATCGAGTGACTGGTCCTTATTATATATCTGATATTGACATACTTCCTTGCCTTATACCATTAATATAATTCACTGATCAGAGAAATAATAAATGATCTTCAGATGGAAAAAGATTCATTCCTTACAGCACAGGAAAGCAATCTCATAAAGGCGAGGCCTTCTCTCAGGCAACATTTTTAATAGGTAGAAAGCATAGAACCACATAGATAAATGAAGTGGGCACACAGGACTCAAATTCGGATTGAGTTCTAATCTAACTTCACTAGATGACTTCGTGAGCAAGCTCTTTAAACTATATGTCCATCCCTCTACCATGACATGTTGTTACGAGTAGTATAGAGCCCCCTGCCTAAAAATGGGAAAAATACAAAGAAAAGTAATGACTCACTAATATGATTAAAGTTAGTTAAAATATATCACAAAGGGATTAGGGCATTTAACTTGGATTTAGAGTGCAGCCTTAGTTCTCCTTGTGCAGAGAGGCAGCCCAGTACAGTGGGAAACAAATGGGCTTTCTCATGAGAAGATCTGAGTTGGAATCCCAGCTCTGCTATTTATAAACTGACCTCAGCATGGTTAGCTAACTCTCTGAAACTCAGTTTCCTCCCCTGGAAATTGAGGCAGCATAACATGGTAAAGTGAATACAGCAAACTGGTCATGCTTACTGCTGGGCAGATAAGACCCGAGGCTTGAATTACAGCTCCCCACTGCACTGAACAAACCTCTTAAACTTTTGGAGCCTCAGTGACTCATCTATAACACAGGAATAATGATATTTATTAGTGTTTTTGTGAGCATTACATAAACTAGGCCGTATCTGAAAAGGTATCTGGCACTCTTAGCACATATTAAATACATAATAAATAGAAGTGCTATCTGTAAAATGAATATAATAATTACTGTCATGTTTCTGTGGAAAATTAGATTAGATAATATAAGTAAAAGCATTTTGATAACTGTAAAGTACTATATTAAAACTGTTATTATTCTCTTTAGGATCTCATATGGACAAGGGCCTGCCATGTGATCTAGGATGTGTTTCTTAATGTTGCTTAGCTTTAATTTCCTCATCTGTAAAATGAGAATTATAATTTTATTTCAGAGAATTGGATCCTCAGAATGAAGATTAAATAATCTACAGTGAATGGCAAATCATCATCATTACTCAAAAAAATTAAAAATCTGACTCTAAACTATCTAGGTGGCTGGGTTTATCTAGTGTTATTCTTAAAGATTTCTATGATCAGACTCAGCATAATTAAGTATAATGTGTAGGACATAGTAGGTACTCAATAAACAACTACTGGGTGAACCTTCCAGGGTGGCTTGAGTGAATGATGGAATATTAATCTGGAGTCGTAATTAACCATTCTCTCATTTCCTCTTAGACTATCAAAGAAGTTCTATCAGTGAGGTTTTAGGCTTTACACAAACTTCCTGACTGCAGAATATATGATAGAACAGTCTATTAAAGGATAGTTTTGCTTTTAGTGGAGGCCTTTCCTGAAGATATCCAAGATTAGGAAACATAACAAACAAGTGAAAAGATCTTTCTGTTTTTTGTCTCTCAGAGGACAAGCTACAGTCCAGCCAATCTCTTCCAAGGTCACTGTGCCAAGATTCTATGATATGACTGACTTAGAGAGAGTTACTAAAGAAAAATAAAACACAAGAGCTGCCATATGGGGCTCACTAGATACAGTATAAGTAATTCTGAAAAGGGGACAGGAACTTTAAAAAATTAATGGTCTCCAAAGACCCCAAGGCCTTCTCTAGTACTCTGTGAGTGATGATCAATCTCAGATCCACCATTTCTGGGCTGTGTGATTGGACAAATCATATAACCTAAGCTTCAAGTTTCCTCATCTGTAAAGTGGGGATAAGTAAGAATATCTCCTTCCTAAAGTTGTTATGAAGAATGAGATAATGAAATAAGGAGCTTAACACATAGAAAGAACCCAATAAATGTTCACCACAGTTAAAACCTCTAACTTTACTGAACTTTCATTCTATATTTGTTTCCAGCCCTTAACCTTTTATTCTGGCAGAGGACAATTTTTTGAGAACTTCCTGTGTTTTGCAGGTTCACAATTTGGTTGATATATCTGTGTTAGTAGTGTCAGTACCCTTTACAATCAATTTAACTTTAATCATATTCCTTTTTAGTCTTGGTTTCTTTCCAGATGGCGAAATCCTAATCTTTTTCATGTATTTTCAAATACTGTACACTTAGGCTTTTTCCAATCTTTTAGTAGAAAAAAATTGCAGTATAATATCTTGGCTTCCTAAAAGCTCAATCACCAAGAAAATATAATCCTATCATAAATATATGATTATGACATATTTGCTGTTTTATGAACAATTATTAATGCTTACAGTAGAGAAAAGTCACCTTAACCTGATCTCATAAACTATTTCTGAACTCAACTTCCTGCAGAAACCTGAGACTGCTGAGATTCAGTGTTAAATTTAATGAGTCAGAGCAGGTGATAGATGTCTTTTAGGCACCACCAGTCAATCCTAAAGTTACTAACAGGGAAGATACATGGCCTATCTCTGAGACAAACCTACTAATTAACCATTAACAAACAAGAAACTGTCTTTATCTTAACTTCAGGTCCCACAGGGCAAGTATAATCCATTCTGTCTCTCTGCCCCATCCAGAGTTATATTAGATGGTTTATCTTTTGGAGCCTGCAGAAACATGGAGAGAAGTACCGTGTCCTACAGCTTTAAGGATATCCTTGATTTTATGTTTCAGAGAACAGAGGTGTCGATCATGGCCTTGAGGTTACATCCTGGGTGACCTGTAACTACCTATAAGCAACAACAAGTTTTCAGAGAATAATTCAACTCTATTTCACAAAAAGTTTCAAAAGAAATGAAAACTGTTGTTGAATTAAATATTTTTACGGTGTTTGAAAACTGTAATTCATTCTTTTTATATGGCAGTGTTCTGAAACAGTATCAATATTCCTTCTATTACTATATTATAGAAAT